CCAGCCGGCACCCCCGGGTGCCCCCCGTCGCCCTCCCCGGGACGGCGGGTAGGAAGGGCGCGCGTGTCCCGGCCACCCCGGAGCCACCCCGCAGCCCCGCACCAGCCCCGCGCCGCCACCGCCGCCGACACCCTTGCGAACGGCGAGGAAAGGGAAAAAATTTGGCCTCGGTTTTGTACTTCGTTTTTGTCAAAATTAAAGAGAGGTTATTCATCTCGCGCCGCCTCAGCAGGTTTCCTCCCGTCGGTGCCGGGAAAGGCGAAGACACCCGCCAGGAAAGCTGCTCGGGGCCACCTGGGCCACCTCTGCTCTGTCTTCTAGCTCTGAACCTGTGAGCTGGGGACCTTCCTCCTCGCTCCTTCCAGAGCAGCCCCAGCACCCACGGGTGTCCCCAGGAGCCCCGGGGCCAGGAGGTGCCGGGTGACTCACGTCTCCACGGCCAGAAAGCGCTGGGAGGGCTGAGGAGTGATGGATGGAGGGGGGAGAGAGCAGGGGATTTTCAAGGCTTTATTTGGAAAGCTACACAAAAGGGCTTTGCTGATTAAAAAAAAAAAAAACCAAACCCCAGCTTTAAAAAAATAAACCAAGAACCCAGAGAGACGCGACCAGGCCACCCCCGCAGCCGCTGCCAGAGCAACTCGGCCTCCCCGGCCTCGTCCCTCCTGGCCACCAGTCCTGCTGCCAGAGCTGCTCTGTGCCCCCCAGGGCAGGGCCAGCCCCGTCCTGCCCACCCCAAGAGAGAAAGCCCCGCTGCCTTCTGCCTCCTCCCTCATCTCCCTCGCCTGCCTGCGGGAGAGGAGGAGCCGGCGGGGTGACAGCGCCAGGGACGGGCAAAATGACTCCCCGCTTCTAAACTGGGCTTAACTGGTGGGTACTGGCCCCCTCCCAGCCCAGCGGGGCCGGCAAATGACAGCACTGTGGGGCCCCTGCCACCTTTTCCAGGCTCGCTCTGCAGAAATTAGGGAAAAGTGCCTCTTCCTCAGGCCATGGGGCAGCACCCTGGGACCTCGTCCCACGCATGAGGAGAAGCCCCGAGGGGTGCCAGGGGGCAGGCTCCCTCCGGAACGGGATTAAGGCTTGCTTTGTTTTCCAGAGCCAGGGAAAGGGAAGCTCCCCTTCCGCTGCCACCACTCGTCCTCCCACTTCCCGAGCCGCTTCCAGCACCACCTTCCGCAGGACCCGAGGGACACGGGCCCCGGGGGCTCCGAAGTCTCTGCTGCCCGTGCTCGGGAAGGACGTACCGAGAGGGGGGACACGCAGCCCCCGCTAGCACTGCTGCTGCTCCCCGTCCTCCAACAGCAGCCCCGTTGTCACCTCCTGGCCCAGGTACCCTGCTCCGGACGGGGCTGCCTCCTGGAAGCTCGTGGCTCTGCTGGGAAGTTTGGGATGGCTGGGGGTCCAGGCCCCCTCCTGCCCCTCGTCCTCCCGGGCAGGTGGCGGGTGCTCGCACTCCATCTCGACGTCCTCGATGTCCTTCTCCCGGTAGAGGGGCACCGACTCCATCTCCAGGCCGCTCTCCAGGGCCCTGTGCTTCCCGCCCTGCTGGTACCAGTGGCAGGCGGCGGGGCCGTGGCAGCTCAGGTCCAGCCCCACGTTGTTGCGGGTCAGGCAGACCTCCAGCATGTAGTAGAAAGTCCAGAACACGGCAAAGCAGCCCAGCAGCAGGAGGGTCTGCGGAGGAGGAAACCCCTTAAGAAACAAAGCCCACCCCAGAGCCCTCCTGTTGCCCAGCGGAGAGGGCAGGGCCCCGGGAGGAGCAGGGAGGCAGGTTCCAGCTCCTCCTGTCCCTCCTGCAGAGGACGGGGTGTCCCTGGCCCACAGGTGGACTCACCTTGAGGGTGTTGGCTGTGATGGTGTAGCGCTGCTCCTCGGGGATCTCCAGCCCCGGCGGGCAGGGCAGGGAGAAGTTGCTGCTCAGGTACTGCCCACTCATGGCTTCCTCCAGCAGCCTGGGGGACAGAGGCACCCCGTCAGGGTCCCAAATGCCACCAAAGGGGCCAAAGTGCCTCTGCCACCACCGAGAGTTGCCCTCCTGGGGAAGACCCAGCCACCAGAATCGTTTTCTGCAGCCCACGGCTGCCCTGTGCAGCTGCAGCCTCCCCCTGCCGTGCTCCCCGCAGCAGCACTGCCCCACCATCCTCTCAGAGACCTCCCATGACGTCCCTCAGCCCCCCAGCTCCCATCTCCCCCCCGAGACAGGGCTGTGGTGTCCTACCTCTGCCGGTCCTTCATCTCTGCTGGGGACCAGGAGGAGCCATAGAGGGTCAGCTGCCACTGCTTCAAGGTCCCAGGCCTCAGGCTGTCATCTCCTGGGGAAGGAACAGGTTGGACCGGTGGAGAACTCTCCTACTTGGCCGGGTGGCACCCTTGGCCACTCAGGTGCTGAGCTGGCAGCTCCCCAGGACAGGGCACGGAGCTGCTGCCCCCGCCCTGAGCCCTGGCAGGCAGGACTCACCGATGTCCCTGACCACCAGTCTGTACGTGCCCTGAGCTTCCTCGCCCCAGCACCGCACCGTGGAGAAGGTCCAGTCAGCAAAGCCATTGGGGTCCCTGCCGCAGGGAGAGGAGAAACAAGCCATGAGAGGGCAAGGGAGCCCGAGCCACCAGGCTGGACACGTGCCCTGGCTCTCCTGCTTGGGACCAGCTGGGCTGGGTGTCCTGCCTCCACACCCCTGTCCCCCCCAGCGCTTACGAGTCCATGCTGCGGGCGGTCCCTATCAGGGACATCATGCCGCTGGGGCAGAAGAGCCTGATCTCCAGGTTGCCCCGGCGGGGGTGGGTGATGGTGACGGTGACTGCCACGTGCTCCAGGGTCCTCATGCCGGAGAGCTCCAGGTCGGCGGTGGTGACTGGGAAAGGGAAGGTGGGGTTTGCCAAGGCTGGTGGCTGGGATGGAGTCCCCCCTTCCAGCCAGCCCTTGGGGGCTGCTGTGCCACTTAATGGGACACATCTGTGTCCTCAGAGCATCTGTGTCCCCAGGGTGGCCATACCCCATGCGGGGAAGCTCTGCCAAGCCCCTGCCTGGCAGCAAAGCCATGCTGTGCTTGGTGGCCCAGCTCTGCAAGGAGCTCATTGTCTGCCCCAGCCAAACCATCCATGATCCCCCCTGGCTGGCACAGGGAAAGGTGTCCTGGCAAACTGTCCCCTGGGCACCCCACGTTGTGCTTGAGCTGCTTGACACAGGACAGAAGAAATCAGGTCCTCCCAAAGCAGAGGTGAAGGAGGAACTCAGCCCTGTGTCCCCTCTCTGAGTTCAGCCAGGACCAGGCAGGATGGAGAAGGACAGTGAGAAAGGGGTGAGGAGGAGGGATAAAAGGGAGGAGGGATAAAAGCTGACTCCTGGGCATTTCCAGCACAATCCCAGAGCAGGAAGAAAACACGAACCCACGCTTTCCTCTTCACACCTCCCTCCCCTCTCATCCCCAGCAGCCTCTTGCCTGCAGCCGAGCCCTCATTTCTCAGCCGCTGCCCACGTGGCTCGTGCCACCGCCCTGCGGGCTCCCCGACACCCAGCTCTGCCCCGGTCCTGACTCGGGGCTCGTGGGCCCAGGAGCCCACCCAGAGAGCTTTGGCCACTGCAACAAAATCACGTCTCATCCTTCGCCGAATCCCTCCTGCTCTGGATGGGTGCCAGCTCCTGGCAGCCCCGCTGGCTGCTCCCAACCCGCGGTTAGGCAGGAGCGGGGTTGGGGAAGAGGAGCCTGCTGTTCATCTCAAACCCTTCGCAGCTCCGCAGACGCTCACGGGCCCGGGGCTGCTAATTATAGCAAAGGCAAGCCTGGTGCCCTTCCCAGCGGATTTCAGCCCGTGCCTCGGCCTCCTCGGCAGCCCCGGCAGGTGGGTGCTCCCCAAGAGGAGCACCCCAGGACCAGGCAGCCAGCTGCAGCCCCTCACTGTGGGGAAGGTGTTAGCTCTGAGGCAGCCCGGGGTACCTGGGGGACAGTAATACATTTCCCTGCACATCCTTCCCCAAAGTGCCTCTTCCGAAGCACTGGCAGCCCAGCTTTCAGCTCACAACTCCTTTTAGGGCAGAAGGAACTCCTCGACCCTCAAACCCTTGGGTCTAAGCCCGCTGCTGGCCCGAGGAGGAGGATGTCACCCCTCTGTCCCTCCTTCCAGGGGGACCTCTGCCCTGGGAAACAGGCGCTGCCAGCCCCCAGCACCCCTGCCAGGAGCTGCAGTGGGGCGAGCCAGGGGTGCAGCCCCTTGGGACGGCAGCTCTGGTGGGACAGGGAAGGGGCTGGTGGCCCAGCCTCGCCGCAAGAGGCCAGAGAGCCGGGCCCTGCTGGGGGGCTGGGAAGGGCTGGGGGCCGAGCTCTCCTTCCCACTGGTAGCAGCCCGAGCAGCGCCTTGTTGATGTGGCCAGAGGGTGGCCAAGTCGGGAGCTGGAGCGTTACCTAAAATGGTCAAAGCCCGAGGAGCAGGTCTGGCTGCTGCCCAGCCCGGCCCAGCCCGCTAACGCCTGCCTGGCTCCTCAGAGACATCAATCTGGGATGGAGCTATCGGGGAGGGGACCACATCGTCAGACACGGATCCCATGGGGAAGGGCAGCGGAAAGAGAGAGGAAAAAGCCGGGGCTGCCCAACGCTTAACCCCTTTGTGGCCTCACACAACCCCGGGGGCCATCAGCGCGCCCGGCCGCACCCCGTGCCAGCAGAAACAGGCCGGAGATCCCCGGATTTGGTGCCCACGAGCACGTGTCCCCACGTGGCACACCTGCTCTTACCGTTCCAGGAGACCTCCAGCTCCTGCGGGAGTAAGGGGATGCTCCTGCCCTCCTTCAGCACCGGGCTCACGTAGGAGGCGAGGTAAGGGACGGACTCCCAGATCTGCCAGGGGAAAAGCAAGAGGATTTAGCAGGAGGTTGCACCCTCTCTGCACGTCCACCTCCCAGGCTCCCACCTCCCCCACAAGCTGCTCCTGCCCGTAGCATATCTGATGCTGTGGCCTAGGCTCAGCTTGGGACCAGGCCAAGGGAGTCTCCTGATGCTGGTCCAGGGCTCGCCAGCCCAGGCAGCACGCAGGGGCTGCAGTGAGACCACGGGGCTGGGCAGGGGCACCCACACGGCCAGGAGTGGAAGGAAAGTGACTGCCTGTGGGCCGGAGGGGACAATCAGGGCTCAGGAGCTCTCAGTTTGTCCCCACCACCACCTGAGAGGCTTTGAGCAATTACTTGAAGCCATTATGTTTCAAGCCCAGGAGCAGCGAGGCAGGAAACGTAGCGGAACCCAAAGCCCTACAGGAAGAGTGAGAGAGGGGGGCATTGCTGGCAACCCACAGCCACCTGCCGAGCCCCACAAGTGAGGATCAAGTGCCAAAGAGCCGTGCCCTGGTCTACACATGACTGGAGGCACAGGGAGGAAGAGATGGGGATGACCCTGCTCTGACCAGCCTCGGGGACGCGGAGTGGAGAACGCCCCATTTCCTCGGGGCACGACGCCCTCCCCGGAGCCCGCTGCGCAGGGAGGGAAGGAAGGTGCTGGGGCTGCCCACAGAACTCCCCGCGCCATGAATCAGAGCTGTCGTCCCCCACCAGAGAAGGCTCTTGCCCATGGCTATATATAGTGCTGGGAGAGCAGCAGCTCGGGGGCAGGTTTCAGGCGTTGCCGAAAGCCTCATGACTTCATACCGAAAGCAGCCTTATAGTGAGGGCCGGCCAAAGCGCTGGCCCTGACCGGCAGTGGTGTCACGGCCAACACGGGACCCGCGGCCACCACCGCCTGGGCCTGCTCTTCCTGCCTCCCGGGCTGGGGAGGGCAATTACCTTGGCAGCGTTAACGAGCCTCCAGGCGTTGAGCAAGCCGAAGCCGTGCTGGTGGCTGTGGCTGAAGCCAGCCCGGTTGGTGTCCCACTTGGCGTGACGGTCCTCGTACTGAAAAGGAACACAGGAGACTCTGGTCACCTCGGGGGACGACCGGCAGCCCCGCAAACCGGAGGCCTGAAAGGAAGGAGGCTCAGAAACACCCCGCAGCAGCGAGGAAGCAAACCCTCAGGGCCTTATTAGAAAGAAAACGGTTTGACCTGTGTTTGAAACAAGTCCCAGGACAAACAGGCTCCTCGGAAAGGAAATGGAGCAGCAGGAAAGGGCACAAATGCCTCTGCTCTGAAACATCCCAGCTGCTCCCCGCTGCCCAAGGCCCAGCCCGCGGGATGGCAGAAGCCTTGGGGAGAAGGAACCAAGTCCTTTAAATCAACAAGAGCCGGGCCAGGACAGATCTGGGTCCCATCACTTCTCAGGCCGTAGCACTCTGGCAGGGCTGGCTTGCAGTCCTGGAAAACGCTGCCCTGTGCCAAAGGCAGTACAGCACGGGCTGGACACGGACTCCTGCTCCCCAGAGGGCTGTGAGGGAGACCTGTCCCTACGCCCAGTGGGGCAGCTACAGGCAGTTCCCACTCCCACTTTCCAAAGGAGCTGAGCTGGAGTTGAAGCTGAGCAAAAGGAAGGGCTGCATTCACCACCACGCTCTCTGTGATGTCTGCTTCCAAGAGCCCGACCCTCTGAAAAGCCCAAAGAAAGGCTGGAGGCAGAGCTCCTTGTGTGCCCACTGCTCGAGCCACAGGGTGGCCCTGCAGAGATGGGTGCTGGGCCAGTTGTGCTACAAACACACACACACACACACGCCCCCCGGGGCCGTGTGAGGCACGGTGAGCCCCTGGAAGACGTGTAGGGCTGGCAGATGGAGGCATTCCTGGAGCAAATACCCCATTTATTATCATGACAGAGGAAAATGCCTCAGCCACATTCCTGGGAGGAACAGGGGGCGAGGGGAAAACGCAATCCCTTCGCCGGAGCCAGACACCGGAGAGATTTATAGAGGGGCAGGCAGACATAAACAGGGATGTGCTCAGCTGCACCTCGGCCACCCCAGGAGGGAGGGAGGGAGAGGGGGTCACTCACCTTGGTGGCAGTGAAGACAATGATGTGCTGGACGTCTCTCCAGGTGAGACAGGGCCGCACCTGCAGCATCAGCGCGATCATCCCGGCGGCCAGGGGAGCGGCAGCCGAGGTCCCCGTGTGCCCCTCCGTGCAGCCCGTGCCCTTCTGCAAATCCCAGTCTGTGGTCACCTTCCGAGAAAGAGGAGAGACACCTCCTGTCAGGCCACTGGTTGCCATACTGGGGTGGCTGGGACGGCCACTGAGCGTGCAGTCCCATCCCCGGGCCATGCCCTTGCTCCGCACACTCAGCCTGTGACACAACTGGCAAAAAGCCCTGGGGACACGGGATTGTGTGACCCACCCTCACCATGCAAAGGGCATGAGAAGGGGGGGCTCCGGGGCTCCCCACGGGCACCCCAGCAGCCTGCAGGGTGGTGCACAAGCTGGTGGGTTCCTCAGAGCCCTGTAGTGCTGATCTACTTGCATGTTTCCACCAGCAATGCTCATAATTGCTATTGCTCTACCACAACCCGATGAGGAGGAGAAGATCCCCCCCAGATGATCCCAGTTGGAAAACTGGGAGAGAGAGGGGAGAAAAGATGGAGTCAGCAGCTCTCCTCCCCTGCAGTCTGGGTGCCCCCGGCCAGCCCTCTCCTCCAGCACCCTCAGGGGCTCCCGGTTATTATTTGCTGTGCAAACCTCCTCCAGCACAGGGTGCCCTCAGCCGGGCTGAGGTGACTCAGGGGAGGTGGTCCTGAAGGCCCTGCCTGCACAAACCACATCTAATCCCTCTGTCTCCCAGCCGTCTCCCCTGCACGGGCAGCCTCCCCCCAGCCCCCAGGGAGGAATTTGCAGCACACGAGCTTTCTCTCTCTCTGTGGTTGCTGAGATCAGGCTGGGAGCCGGGAGGGGCAGCCAGAGATCCCGTCATCGTCCCCCAGTCAAGGCCAGAAGAACAACAAGAGCGGGGCAGCAGCAGGGGAGAGGGTCAGGGATTAGCTGCTGAAAAGCCTGGAAACATTTCCCAGACAGTTCCTGGCTGGGAGACAGGGACCCAGCAAAAACCAGTACAAGGTGGAAAAGACAAAAGCACAGCTCCCCAGTGGAGGTACCACCCCGTGCTGGGAGCTGGGACGCAGACAGTCCGGCGTGGGGCTGAGCAGAGCAGCTCGGGCAGCCCAGGGCAAGGGCAGGAAAGTGCCTTTGCTGCTGCTGTTTGTGCAGAGTTTAGCTGAGGAGAAGGAACAGCTCTGAACCACAGATGGGTGCTCAGGCCCACGGCAGGAACAGCAGGCACTGCTCCCCTCGCCCCTGCTCGTAGCCAGCTGGGCTCCAGGGGCTGGACTGGGTCCTGCAAAAAGCCCAGGAACTGGGCCTGAACTAAGCAACTCCAGGGGAAACTCGAGGCAGTTACGGTTTGGGACCTTCCCCACCTGCAGAGGGATCACACGGGACTTTGCAGAGCACCCAGAGCCTCCAAAGAGGCACCGGGAGGTTCCCAAATTATGCCACCCCACTGCAAACTGAACGTGTCTGTCCCCCTGTGCTCCCCACGGGGACGCAGCCCGAGTGCCAGAAGCTGTAGGTGGTGTTGCCTTCTGTGCTTGGCTCCGTAACGTCCTGCCAGCTGTTCGCAGCTTCAGCTGGTGCTGGGACGCTGCACGGCCTCCAAAGAACACCCTGAGCAGCACAAACTTGCAGTAGGAAACTGCCAGAAGCTGTATTAAATTCTTCCCATTAAGGAAACCACACAAAGTTTATAGTCTGGTAAAAAAAACCAACAAAAAACCAACCCAGCAGATTGCTGCTGAGAAGTTAACTCTGCCATCACTGAAGCACGGCTAAAGGGCATTTGGAAGATTTCCCTCCAGAAAAAGGAGTGTGAATGTTTTAATGTGGCACAGGACAGCTCTCCAGGATGGGACATGCCTAGGCTACATGTGGCATCTCATCCTGGCTCCCAAACAGAATACCAGCTCCTGCATCAGCAGCCCATAAAGCCAAAATTCAAAACGAAGGGGCATTCGAGACCTTCAGAGTGCTCCCACCAGCAGCAGGCTTGGGGGAAGCTGGACAGGAACCTGAAGCTCTGTAACTCCCGAGGAAAGTGCAACAGAGCCCACGTTTGGCTGCCGTTCCCTTTTTTCCAACCACCAGGAGTTTCCAAACCAGCTTGGGACAACCAAAGTTATTTCTGAAAGGAAAAACTAGCTCCATTGGGGGTTTTGCTTTCCCTGCCACGTGAGCCCAGCCGTTGCTCAGGCAGATGGGCTGGAGTTATCAGGGACTCCTGCCCCGGCCCGGGACTGCGAGAGGAGCTGTGCTGAGTCCCAACCAGGTGGCTGAGGAGCCCAGGCTCTTCCTGTTTCCCCAGTTTCCCCAGCAGGCAGGGCAGCCTGTTTGACAAGCCTGGATTCAGCTCCTCGCTGGCAGGCACAGAGCCACAGCCACACGTCCCTGCTCGCAGGAACACCCCAGGCACCATCCCTCCTTCCTCAGGGCCCCCCAGGACCCCCAAGCACACGCTGCTGGGGCCCATCTGCCACTGGGACCTCGCTGCCTCATGGGCTTTGTCTGGAGAGAGCCTCTGGGAACTGCCCATCCTGACAGGAGATCCTCCCGATGCCTGCCCAACCCCAAAAAATCAGGCCTGGGGGCCAGTGATGTTTACCCCAAGGTGCCCCAGGATGGCCCGGGCTCTGCAGCCCCCCCAGGACAGGAACAGGTCCCAGCCACAGGGGCTGGTCAGCCCCCCGAGCACACCAGCACCAAGGGAGGGACACGCCGGGTCAGGCCTGGGGCTGGTGAAAACAGGCCCGGCAAAAACTTGGCTCGGGCAAAAAGGACATTTTGTTGACAAGAAGTCATTTTTTGGCAAAAAAAAAAAGAGGAAAAGCTGATAAAAATATTCTGAAAAAGTCAGCTGGGAGAGGCACATGTGCCAGAAGAGAGGAGGAGCTGGGGCCAAGGACTTTAAAGAGCCTGATGCTGCTCCCAGCCCTGCTTCCAGGTGTGGTCAGCAGAGCCCAGGGGAGAAGCCCCGTGCCTGGCGTGGTACTCACAATGCTCCTCATCATTTTGTACTCACAATGCTCCTCATCATCTTGTCCCCGCCGCTGAAGGTCACCGCTAACATGGAGGCACACTCCTCGGCGTAGAACGGCATGGAGCCCGTCTCGTCCACTGCACCTGGGGAGAAGGGAAAGGCACCGACCACGTGGAGCTGAAATCACAGGGTGCTGAGCCCCCGAGGACCCATCCTGCTGTCCTTTGTCATGCTTTCATGATCTAAAAAAGCAGCCATAACAAATAACCTCTCACTGTGCTGAATATTACACACATCTTCTACCTTTCCTGTAGCTTCTCCCCTCAAGAGAACGGGTTAGATGTTTCTTTTCTAACACACGTGATGGGAATGCTGGATTTCAGTCACTCCCTCACCATGGCAGTGCCTGTCACAGCCCCAGCAACGGAGGCCTGAACGCAGGCAGGAATTTCTTTGGCCTCCTCTTGCTTTGTAACTCAAAAGAAAACTTGAGGGCTGAAGGCCAGCACCTCTAGACGCTGCCACATTCATTCCTAGAGGACAGCCACTGATTCCCACTCTCCAGCCAGCTTCCAGCTGGGACAATCTCCTTTTTCCAGGCTGGGAAGGAATAAGAGAGAAGGCAGGGGGTCTCACCTATGGTGACGGTGTAGATGGAGTTGGCGTACCCGTCGTAGTTGCAGTTGTCGTTGTGTTGCCCTCCGTTGCCACTGGCCACCACGAAGATGCTGCCGAAGCCCCTGCGACCCGCTATCACGCCGTGCTGCAGGGCGGCCTGCGGGGAAGGAGCCATCCTGGTCAGGGCACGTCCTCAGGGGTCCCTCCCCCTGCCCGTCCCCTGGCCCTGCCAAATTCTCAGGGTGACAGTGGGGCCAGTCACAGCCCCCCCGGGCCACGTTTCACCCCGAGTCAGGGTCCGTGTCTGTTACAGCCCCGAGCAGACACCGAAACTCCAGAGTGAGCCTGTCACAAAGGCAGCCACGCGGCCAACGTCTGTGATTTTAAGTGGATTTCTGTGTTAGAAATAAAAAGAGGAAAAGGAAAAGCACCCTTCCAGGCAAGCACAGCGCAAGGACTGCCCAGCATCCGAACCCCAGAGGAAACACAGAAGCCTCCCAGCTTCGGAGCTGCCTTTTCTGCAGCATCAAGGCTTTCCTGGCGACAGAGAGGACCCCCGCGTAGGCACTGCCCTTCTGCAAGGCTCCAGCCCCCCCCGAGAAACACAACCACACCAGCCCCACTTGGGAAGTGCATCTCCAGGCCCACTCCTCGCACAGACATGGTTCTTGCCTAGATAAAGGGTATCTGTCTGATGGACAAGCAAGAAAGCTGGAACCCAGCCCTCCTCCTCGGCCCCCCTGCAGCAGGAGAAGGCCCCTACTGCATGGTAAAAGCCCTCCAGATGTTTGCTGGTGCTCTGTGTCCCAGAGCTTGTTACAGCTGTCTCTGCCGCGCGCAGGGAGAGAACAAATTAACCTGCAGAACTGGAAACCCCTCGTCACCGAGAAGCGATAGCTCAGCCGCCAGCGTGGCTGCCAGCAGCACAGTCACTGCTGTCTTGTGGTCAGAAAAGTACACCAAAAGGCTGCCAGGCAAAAGAGAAACGAAGCAGAACCACGTCCCACGAGCAACGCAGCACCAGTTTGGGTGCCCCCCCCTTCAGTGACCCCTCACTGCAACACCTGGGTGGCAGGAGCCAAGCACCTGGGTGCTGTGAGAATGCTTTTACAGCTCCCACTCCTCCACCACCATGTCCCTGCTGAGAGCAAATGCAGCCATCACCCCAGCCCCTCATCCACTCCTAACATTTAAGGCACGCTCCCTGCCTGGAGAACCACCCCCAGCACTAGCAAAGCTCAGTCTCCTGGGTGGAAAGCGTCCCTCAGGTCGTAAAAGTTGTCAGAATAACACCACCGCTTGCGAAAGAGCGTTTTTCCTGCTGGAACCAGCCTCTTCTTGAAAAGCTCATCTAACAGTGCCTGGACGCTGCCCTCCCGCAGCAACGTCACCTCTCCCCACCGCACGGGCACATGCACCACCTCCGCTGGCAGCCCCGGCAGCAAACAGACGTGCGCTGCCCCACAGCACCGTCCCTCCCCGCCCATCCGGGCAGGCAGGAAGCCACAAGCCCCAGAGAGCTAGCCCAGGGGTGGCCCGTGCTGCTGGGGTCGTTTTTTTACCTTTCCCAGTTGATGGGGGCCATCCACGGTCTTCCCATCGTCATCTGGACCCCAGCTGCAACGACAGACACCATGAAGGGACAGCCCCAGGAGCCGCAGGGGCAACTCTTCCTCCCATCACAGCGAGCTACCAGCAGCCACCAGTTACTCCCAGCACCAGGACTGGGATGGGAGGGCGCCGCACTTTCCCATGGGTCAGGTCAGGCCCTGGCAGCTGGGATCTCACCGTCCTGTTTGCACTGTGCCCCTGGGTCAGATTCCAGTGGACAAAATGTTTGATTTTTATTTAACAACCAGCTTCTCACACATTCCAGCCCCCGGCAGGCAGCTCAGCTGGGGCTCCCTGACCACGGCGGGGGGCACGCTGGCCCCTCCGGCGCCGGGGCAGAGCTCGGTGCTGTGCACAGCCCAGCTCTCCAGTAACAGAAACACTGATTGCACTCTTAACACCAGTAACAGAGAGCCCCACCTCACGTGCCCAGCTGCAGACCCCCTCAAGGTTCACCCAGAGTCCCCGAGACAGTCTGACTGTTGGCTACAGGCGGGTCCCCGAGCTCAGGGGGACGGGCAGGGTGGCCCCTCAGTGGGACAGAGTCACCACCTCACTGTCCTGCTCACAGGACCCACAAAAGCAGTAGTGATTTCGGTGCCTCAGGGCCAGCCAGAGCCAGAGGAGGAGAGGAACTGGTGCCAGCACTGGGCCACGAGCTGTGACCGCGTCCCCGGGCAGAGCGGGGCTTGGCTGGGTGTTGGTGTGGCCTGGCTGAGGGTCCCCTCGGGGCTCACCTGCAGCTGTAGATGTCGTTGATCTGATAGTGCTTGTTGAAGGCGATGGCCTCCATGCTGTCGGTGAGGGGCCCGTCCAGCACCCGGATGCCTGCAGGACAGAGGACAAAGGATGTGACCCAAGGAGATCAAAGGAAGCTGTACAAACAATGCAAATAAATCCCTGGGCAGGTTCACAGCGGGGACACTGGCTCTCCCAGCCCCATGGAACCGGATCTCCCTCTGCTCAACGTGGCTTTTCTGCCCAGCGAGTCCTCCAGTCCCACTGCCAGAACCAAACTGGGACGGGGACAGCACAACCACACACCAACTGGGCTCACCTCCGCGTGCCCCTGAGCCCCCCTACCCAGAGCACTGCTCCCTTGGGGGCTTCCTCACGTCCCACCCTCAGTTATCCCACTGCTTCTCAGGGCTAGTCCCTGCCTGGAGCAATCGCTTCCCCTCCCGAGTGGCCAAAGAGCCCGGCAGGGCTTTGGGAAGGACAACACAAGGGCTCCAGGAGCCCCCAGCTGCTGTGCTCAGCCCAGCAGGGCAAGGCCACCGCCCCAACAAGGCCATGAAGGCTGAGCTTTTGGTGACCCAAACCATTAATAATTACCATTTTGCGTCACAGTTTAGGCTGGCAAAGGGTGTTACAAATGGAGCCCAGGCAGGCATCTCAATGAAGCCTATTTATAAACAGCGCAGCCGCCCACCCGTCGCAGCTCCCGCCTCACACCGCACACGCGGCGTTTCCCTGGCGGATCTGAGTCTCCCCCGGGGAGAAGCAGAGCAGTCCAGTGAGGGATGTGCTGGCTCCCCTCATCCCAGCTGGCACCAGCACTTCCACGCTGCCAGGGCAGTGCCCCTGTTCCCCCCCGGCACTCGGGGCTGCCCCGCTGTGCTCCCCCAGCAAGGCCAGGCACAGCCTCGGGAAGCTGACGCCCAAAGAAATGCCAGGTCCCGCCCGAGCAACTCCAGATAAACCCTCCCGATTCCCCACGCTGTGGTTAAACTATGAGCTCATCTTTCCTTCTGTCAGTCAGGCTTTGCTCGCAGCCTCTGCCTGGGGACCATGCTGTGTCACCATAGAATCAGCCAATTCTCTAGGTCGGAAGGGACCTTTAAGATTATCTAGTCCAACCACCAACCCAGCTCTGACAAAACCCATCACTACACCCTATCTCTTAATGCCATCAGGGTGTTTGCTCAGGGAGCACCCCATCGGGGAGAGGCAGGGACAGGCAGAGCCACCCACAGTGTCCTTGGAGGAGTTCCTGGGCCCTCAGCACCCTGCTGGGACCCCATGGCTCACCTGCTCCCTGTGCCACAGCCAGGGAACGTGGCACCATCTGCCGAGTGGGCAGAGAATCATGTCCCAGGCTGTGGCACAGCAGCACCGTCCTCTGCTCTGCCAGGGACACATCCTGCCCAGAGATCTCACCTCCCTCTGAAGGGGTGCAAGAGCTCTGGGGAGAGCTCATTCCCTGGCCTTGCAGAGGAGAAACGCCCGGCTGGACCTCCACACCCTGTCCATCCCCAAGGATGGAGAGCTGAGACCAAGGGCCAGGGGAGCATGGGGAATGGGCAAACTTTGGCTTCCCCACTGCCTGCAGACAGAGCCTGCAGTGCTGCAGCAGAGCGGGCAGGTCGGCGCACGTTCCCCTGGCTCAGGCTGGGCGATACGGACGCGTATCTCCTGAAACATCTGCGGCCACGCAGGTGGGGCGCTGGGAATGCTCTGGAAAAGCTGCCCCAGCACAGCACACACCTCTCCCCCTTGTTCCTCCAGAGAGCAGCTCAGGTTCCTCCCTCTGACAGCCCAACCAGCCCGGGCAAGGCACCGGGTGACTCAGAGCCGCCGTGGCCAAGCCACCCCCCTCCCAACGCCGTGCCCCGGCCCCACGGAGCGAGGTGAGAGAAGCCAGGCATGAGCACAGCACGGCGGGGCGCCGCGGCACGCACGTACCTGCGATGCGGCTCCCGTAGGCAACCCCCACCGTGCAGAAGCTGTTGTTGGGCACGGCAGCGATCTCCCCGGCGCAGCGCGTCCCGTGGTGGTTGCCGTTCTCCTCGTCGGGGTGAGGCATAGGGTCGGGGTCGTTGGAATTCAAGTCGTAGCTGCCTTCTGGGCTCTGAAAACAGACCCGCCGTCAGGAGGCAGGGCTCTGCTCGCCTCTTTGGGGAAAAGCAGGGCTTAAGAGAGCGCTCCGCGGGCTGAAACACAGCCTGGAAGTCACGGGAGCTTAGGGGCTGCCTCCACACAGGGCTGCAGCTCAACACTGCTATCTGCTGCTGCAGGAAAGGGACAGGCAGAGGCAGCCTCTGCAGCTGCTGGGGGGCAGAGGGAGGCCAGCTCTTGTGTCTGAGTGGCCACCTCCCACAGGTAGCACCGAGGCTGGTAACCCCGCAGTTTGGGCATGGAATCTCCCAGGGAAAAATCTGCCATTGGCACTTCCCGCCCGGGTGAGGCTCTGCCGGCAGCTGAGCACTCGCAGGCTCGGGCCACGGGGCCAGCACTCACGTAGTTTGGCTGGATGTCCTTGATGGTGTGCTCCACGCCGTCGTCCACCACCACCACCGTCACGCCGCGCCCCGTCACATTCTGCTCCCACACGCCCGTGACGTTGATGTCCTTCCCGGGGCTCTTGCGGTTGTTCTACGCAGCGGAAAGGGGGGCGAGGGGGGGAGGGAAAGCGGAGGAGCGGGTCAGCCGTGAGGGAAGGAGCCACCAGAGTTTTTGGGGGGGACTGGGAGTGCAGGGAGTCACAGGACAGAGATTTGTTTGATGTGGACAGAGCAGTGGCTGCTCAAGCCACGAAGAGGAGTGCCCAGTGCTGCATCCTGCTTAACTGTACAGCATGTCCCAGCCAAAACCCCTCTGCCCACCCCAGCGCCACTGCTGTGTGGCCAGCTGTGGCCAGTTGTGGCAGCCAGCTCCTCCCATTGCGGTGGCAAGCTCTCAGTGTGCTTCCTCCTTGCTGCAAGGACAGAGAGTGACCATCCTGCCCACCACTGTGGCCACGCAAACAGCCCGAGCCCGACAGGAGCTGGAGAAACCACTCACCAGGTGCCACTGCTGGGGGTACTTGGGGTCGTTAAAGTGCAGGCTGCGCTTGGAGCGCTTCAGGAGCTTCTGTTCCGAGTGCCACCGCACGCTGTCGTGCTGTGCAAACAAAGTGTCCACCGACCTCCTTATTGCTTCGGGCTCGCGTGCCGCGCGGCCGCCGTCGGGCTGGTAAGCGAAGAGGTAATGGCCCTTGAGCTCCCCGACGCGGCCCATGTTCACCAGCCCCGCAGTCTGGGCCAGCTCCTCCGCCCGCTGCTCCAGCTCCTCCTCGGGTGCCTCCAGGCTGACGGCCCAGCTCAGCTGGCCGGGCCGGGGCTCAGCGCGCTCTCCACCGCAGGCCAGTGTGTCCGACAGCGCCGGGGGCAGCCAGGCAGCGCCCAGCCAAAGGCACGTGTGGATACAGAGCGTGGCCTCCATCCCCGCGCTCCATCGCGGCGCCCTCCGCTTCCAATGCGGCATCAGACAGGCGGGCTGCGGGAGGCACAATTATTGCACTGAGTTTTTAGAGTTGGAAGGGATCATAGAGATCATCTAGTCCAACTCCCCTGCTAAAGCAGGACCACCCAGAGCTTGTCAGAGCATGTTGCTCAGGAGCATCCAGGCAGGGCTTGAAAATCTCCAGAGAAGGGGACTCCACACCCTCCCTGGGCAGCCTGTTCCAGGGCTCTGTCACCCTCACTGTGAAGAAGTTCTTCCTCAGAAAACCCAACGGTGAGAACCGCGCTCTTCTGACCTGGAACAGGGCAGCCACGGCCTCACCTGCGGCTCCTAAGGAGCAGCCCCGACACACCTGGGCTCCCTACCAACCCCTCCCCAGCACGGCTTCCAGGGAAACCCCAGCCCAGGCGGCTCAGCCCCGGGCAGGGATCCCTCCTCCCTGCTGACGGGCAGGAGAGGGGCCGCTTCCTCCTCTCCTGGTGGCCGGGCACAGAAGAAGACACCACCAGAAAGGCCACCAGACGCCCACAGGCAGGAGCCAGTTCCCCTTTGGAGCGAGCCCCACTGAACTCCACCCTCACCTGCTCCGTGGCCGGAGGAACCTGCTTTCAGCCGGCACGGGTGGAAACCGGCCCCCAGCCCCGCTGCAGCCCCGCTCCACAGCGCCGTACGGGGCGGGGGGGGGGGAAGCCCCTCTGCTCCGTTCCCCACAGCCCGGCAGCACCCAGGGCTCGCCGTCCCCCGGCAATTTGCCGGCAGCGCCTCCCCCAGCCGCTCTCCCGAGCCCCCGGAACAACTCACCGGCTCCGGTTCACGTTGGACACGGAGAGCTCCCTAAAAGGAAGAGCTTGAACCACCCGTGGCTGCCCTTGGGCTCAAGGGACCGGCACCCCCAGAGAGCGCCTGCACCCGCTGGAGCCTGGGGCAGAGCCAGCGCCCTCCGCTCCCCGGGGAGACCGGGGGACACGGGCACGGCCCGGTGCTGGCCGCCACCCGACTCCCGGGGCCAAAGCTCAGGGACGCCCGGGGCAAGCCGAGCGCCGCCGGGCTGGCCTGCCGCCCCTTCCTCCACCTCCCGGGGGGCGGCCGGACACCCCAGGCTGAGGCCTTCAGCCCCCCCTTGGCTTCACCGGCGGCCCGGTTGGGCTCACCGAGCCCCCGGGGGGCGGGGAGGCGGTGACAACCGGTGACCCCCAGGCGGAGGGGCGGGCGGGGCCCCGCGGGGCTACCGGCTACCCCGGGAGCCCGTCCCGCCCCCTCACAGCCCCGTCCCGCCGCCCCCGGCCCCG